AGCACAACTTTGTGAGCGCTGCCACGCCACCAGCAGCAGCCCTGCGCTCCCCACACCGCCAACCGCCTCCCTCTCCCTTCTGGGCACAATGAGGATGCTTTTGGGTCAAAGAGCAACACTGAGGGAGCTTTGCGAGATGCACCAGGTGGCCCCATTTGTTTTCATTGTTAAAGTCCCGAGCCCGAAGTCCTTCTTTGACTAAAGGGGAAGAGAGAAAACTGAGCACCGAAGCCTAGAAGCAGAGCTGCTGTTTGCAGTGATGGTAACACAGGGATCATAACATCCAAGGGCCTGGATGGGGGTCCAACTTCAGGAGCCTTTACTGAGCAGCCCTTTCGTGGTCAAGCTGACATCTCGTGTCTTGGGTTAAGGGAGACCTTTTCAGGGGTGCCCTCGGGAAAGCACCCCGTTTGTGTGTATGTCCTGCCCCTTGGGCCATCACCCGCATCTACGGAGGCTCCACCCTGGTGGTTCTGAGAACACAGCAAAGGCCACTGGCCTTCGGGTGCAGCACCCTGCTCCCTCCACAATCGCGGCAGCACTTGCCTCCCCGGGGGGCTTGGTCACCAGCCTCCAGGCCCCCGCCACCACCCTGCAGCTCTGATTCCAGCCTCGGTGGGCGCCCCAGGACTCTGCATCCTGTCTGTCTTGACCTGAAAGTTGGCACCTCCTCCCCTTGGGTCAAAGAAAGTCCGTTGTACATAACTGAACAGCGCCATGCCGGTAAAATCATTTTTCCTTTGACGTTTTTCTCTGTTGCATGCGGTTGCATTCAAATGCCAAATAGTGATTAGAAGACTACCGTTCTGATCTCCTTGTTCTATTGGTCACTGTGTGACTCTTAGTGTTTCTCTCCATGTGCTCTATGAATGAAGAATGCATACCAGTGTTTTAAAAGGTATTTTTATGTGTTTTTTAAAACTTTTTAAAATGAGCCTGATGCCTCTGTTTCAGCGTTTGGAGACATGCCTTTTTTTTTTAATGTATGATTACTGATATTTCTGTTGTGTTTAACTAAGCTGTGTTTAATTTATGTGCAATCTTTATATGTATGTATTCTGGTTTCAACTATCATTTTTTTTTGTTTTATTCCATTTATCATTTGATCTTGCTCTGATTCCAATGCCAGTGAATGTTGCTGAATTTGTATATGCAAATTGCAAGATCCAAAACATTCTGTTGCAAGGATAAATCTTTACTTTGACTTCCAGCCTGTGTCTCTTTCTTCGGTGAAGTCTCCTAATCTTATTCCTATGCCTTAAATCCTTCTAGACAAGACATTCATTAGGAGGTAAGCATGGATTTATGTAGACAATTTTAGGACTTGTAAAATTTAACTCAGACAGGGCATAGACACAGCCCCCATGTGTGGGTGTGATGGCCAGTGCACTGGTCTTCAGTAGCCTGAGTGGTGCGTGAAGCCTGGATTATAACCGCCTTACAGAGGGCGACCCTCCTAGAGTCCAAACAGAAGCTCTGAGCTCTGAACAGTGGTTTCTCAGAATATACAAGGAAGGTGACCGAATGCTCCCAGTCCACTTCCAGGTGGGATCAGAAAGCCTTTCCAACACTGCTTCTCCTCCTAAAACGTTGACTCCTGTTAGGCCTTCCTTTCCACATCTGTGTCTATGGACCCCAGATCACTTTTTCAGTTTCACACCTTCCCTAACTCACACACCAGCTTCCTCTTTCAGATATTCTGGGCCTAAAGTGGAAACTGAAGCATATGCTTTTTATTATTGGTTGCATTTATTTAATAAATTTTATAAGCCTTGTTATATTTGTTAAAATGGATCATCTGAAAACCTTTAATCCCCTTCACTTGATAAAACTCACCTGCAATGAATGCTGTTTGCTCCTATGGACCCTCTAGCTATTGTGTTCGCCCTATGGGTCTGTGGGCTTCCCAGGTGGTGCTAGGGATAAAATGAACCCACCTGCCAATGCAGGAGACATGAGAAGCGGGTTCGATCCCTGGGTTGGGAAGATCCCCTGGAGAAGGAAATGGCAACCCACTCCAGTATTCTTGCCTGGAGAATTCTATGGACAGACGAGCCTGGCAGGCTGCGGTGCGTGGGGTCGCAGAGTTGGACACAACTGAGCACACACATGGGTCTGTCCGCATGTCTGTTAAATAAGAGGGTCTCACTCCTGCTTTCGGTGTGGTGGGGGCTCTTTCCCCCATAAGTATAACAGAGCAGGAGAATGGAAGGTGCAGACCAGCCTGAGGCAGGTGACAGCAGGGAAGAAGGAGGAGGTTTGGAGGAGGGTCCATGAGGACAGAAACCAGCAGCCCCAGCCAGCCAGGGGCCAATGGACTTGATGACCTGGTGGGGTGCAAATTCAGGAGGGTGGGAGGGGCTGAAAGGGAACAAACCCCAGGTCTGCCTCAGAGGGGCCTGCTGTCAAATAGAAACACACCAACGCACCCCCTGTGATAACAGATCTCAGGATGGGCCAGCAGGTGAGCCGATGGCCAGGGGAGGTCAGCACCTGGCTGGGATTGGATGGTGCAGGTTAGGGGTGTGACTTTTAGCAGGCTCTGTGGCTTTTTCACTAAGTGAAGACCATCTATGGTATGGATGGTCTCCGTTTCCCTCCCCTAACTAACTATGGATAATGGCAAGCCTTTGAGCTCTTGTCAAGCTGAGAGGCAAAAAAAAAGAAAAAAAAATGCCTGTCAATTTGCATTTCCCTAACTTCTAGTGGGTTGAGCATCTTTTCACATACAGAGATGTATTCCATCTCTGAATCACCAATTTGTATTTTTTATCCATCTTCCTAACTGAATCATCTGACTTTGCCTTATTCATTTATTGTGTTAGTCGCTCAGTCACATCCAACTCTTTGCGACCCCATGGACTGTGGCCTGCCAGGCTCCTCTGTCCATGGGATTCTCCACTCAAGAATACTGGAGTGGGTTGACATTCCCTTCTCCAAATTCACTTATAATAATTCTGTTTAAAACATGGATACTGACCCTTTGTTATTCACGTTATAGCCAACCCACCACAGGCTACTACCCCTGGGACTTGCCCGCAAGTTCACTCCCAGAATCTGGTCGCGTCAGGGCGGCCAGCTTCTGGGCAGCAAGCACTGTCATTTGCTGATTCTGCAGCCTGGACCAAACACGTCCTGGAGTCCCCGCGTGACTCCTCTGGAGGCCAGGCAAGCAGGACAAGGCCTGGTTGGTGGTGGGGAGTCCTCTCCCCCAAACACCAGGGCTGTTCCTGCGGGACCCAGCAGGCCCCCTGGCTGGGTGGGGAAAGTGGGGGGAGTTCCTGTCTGGCTATGGCAGTTGTGGAAGTGCAGGCAGGAGGCTGGGAGCCGGCCCTCTGCCCCACCCCTTTCTGCCACTCACTGTCTCGTTTGGTATGATTTTCTTTCCCCCTTCCTGCCTTTAATACAAATACTGAGTTTTAGTATCATTTCATCTGATACTTCCTGCACCTGATCATCAGGGTGTAGACTCATCACCCTGGCGGTCTGACCCCGGATGGACAAAGCTTCATCCGAGAAGCGGGCACCTAACAAAGCTTCATCCGAGAAGCGGGCACCTAGTTTCCACCGTGCTCTATTCCACCAGGAGCCACAGCATGACTCTGGGCCATGAGACGGGGGGCCGACCTGGCCCGGGAGACCAGGTTAGGGGTGAAAGAGGCTTCTTGGAGGGAGTCTGGCTGGAGCTGAGCTCAGGGCTGAAGGGAAGCAGGAGTGGGGAAGAGAGCAGGGTATGTGTGTGAATGAATGGGTGTGTATCCATGTGTATGCATGTATGTGTGCGGATAAACAGGTGTGTGCTGTGCATGTACACGTGTATGTGAATATACCACATGCGTGTATGTGCATGTGATGCTGTGTATCCATGCATATGTATGTGAATGGGTGTGTCTGTACATACATGCATGTGCGTATGCGCATATATAAGAAAACATGCGTGTTCATGCATATGTATGCATGTGTGTGAATGAACGGGGGTGTATGTGTTCATGTATGCATGCGTGAATACTACGTGTGGGGGGTAGAGGCTTAACTAAGGAAGGCAAGAGATGACTGGTAGAAAATTAAAGCAAAAAAAATCACGTCATGGAAAACTTGGAGATAAAGTAAAACCAGCTTCCATTTAAGGAGAGCTTTCCATCAGAGGGATGCTACTTCCTTGGAATCTGAGGCTCAGAGAAGTTACCAAATCACACAGCGAGTGGATGTTTATTTCTTGTACCCCGTTCTCAAGCACACAATTAGCCTTGCTAAATAGTAATGGTTAGTATTTCTGATGCTTACTCCCCCAAAAAATGCTAAATAAAGGATGTGTCCTGTGGATGTGCATTTTTTTAAACACATTTGAATGACCTTCTCTAATTCAGCATCTACAACCATATAAAATAAAACCACCCTTCTTGTGCTCTTGAAACTTTGCTTAAGAAGGCGAGAAAATATGCTGATATATCTCAGTGAGATTTGGGGTTAGAAATGAACCCTAATAGCTTCTTAATTTTTTACCCCATCCCCCAGGAACACAGCTAATTGAAAATTTTCTATATGTGAGGTTCATAATTATTGCTAAATCTGAAGTGTTGGCAGAACAACTTAATCATAGAAAATTCCCATTTTATGTTTCCTAGAACTTTGCCTAAGTGACTCACACGTTCAGAGGCCTTTTCTAAAGAGTCTTACACTTTCTAAAATACCATCCCTTCTGTGTGTCCGAATCCCACTTTCCTTCCGGCCCCACTTGACAACTCTTGATTTCAGGCAAAGCCGTCTAAAACTGTATTAATAAGGCAGCCAAAATAGCAAAAAAAAAACACCCCTGACTCAGACAGACGTGCCTGGATTCATGCATTTGTTCAAAAGCATTTATTGTGATGTGGACCTCGCCACGCCTGACTCGGGGAGGAACACAAGAGTGGACAGAGGCAGGGGTGACAGCCCACGCGCTCGGGCAGGGACCCTCCCGTCCTCCAGCCTCGCCCCCACCAGGAGCGGTTGGGCGGACGGGGAGGCCTGCACACGGGTGCCTGGAGGGACGGGGCGCTCGCGTCTGACCTGGGAACACGGAGGAGCCGGAGGACAGAGGGAAACGGCAGTGAGATGGGCGGCTCTGAAACTGAAGGGCGGACTCCAGGCGTAAAACCAGATGCAAGGGCCTCCAGCTCCGAGCAGCAGAAACGGCCGCTGTTTCTGGGGGCGAGGCGTCTGGGCTGGTGGCGCCTCCCGTCGGAGGGGAAGGCGCGCGGTCAGGCCAACATGTGTGGGCAGGTAAAGCAGAGACCAGAGCAGAGGAAACTCGGAAAACGTGGCCCGAGCGCGCAGGGGGCGTCACAGCGTGGGGCCGAGAGGCACGTGGGCAACGGCCCTCAGCCGAGTGGGGCGACGCCCTCTCAGATGAGAGCAGTCCTAGTTCAGACACACACCTCCCGTGAAAAAGGCAAGCGGTCAGCCCTTCCTCAAACAGCGTCACGTTACCCTGCAGATGGCATCACAGACCAGCCTCCGGATCACACGCCTCTTCCCTTCGAGGCCAGGGCAGCAAGCAGATGACCCGTAGCCGAGTGCCTGGACCCGCGGTCTCCCCACGGGGAAGGCGGACACCCTAACTCTCGTTTCTCTAGTCCTCTGCCCATTCCTCCCCGCGTCCTGAGTGCCTGCCTGCCAGTGCTGGAGAAGCCCCTGCCTTTCACATTTGCATGGAGGACGAACGTACACGCAGGACACACACACAGGGAAGCATTTACAGCGGCGTGGCAAGTGATGGAGCCCTCGGCCGACGGGGACTGACAGCGCCGGTCACAGACCTCACGGCTTCACTGGCCGAGATGCAAACTCCCATAACCCCCCCCCCACCCCCCTACTCAAGTTTTAAAATTTTTACTAATTTAGGAGACTCAGCAGTCTCCTTCATAACTTCCATGTAGGGGCTTTTGAATAAACTTGAGTTAGAAAATTCTAAGCCTTCTTCCCTTAAACACCCACCCCACCCCATCCCCAACAGCATTATTTACAGAATTCACTTTAAAACTTATGGCAAATATTGTACTACAACTTATCACTAAATTCATTACTTTTTTCCCCCTGTTAAACTTCTTAGCTATATATCTTCAGGGTCTCGACGACTTCTGGTTCTTATTTTCTTGACACACACATTGTCACTTTCCTGTTTGGGAAGAAAAAATATCTCAAGTCATTTGAAAGAACAGTTTGTGTAACCAACACTACTCTGTAAAAACCCAAATCCTTACAGGGTGTGATGCAGGCCTTTAGTTCTAGAAAATTAATCTTGAGTTTAGAAATGAGCTTTAATATAGAGGCTGTAAAAGCTGCCTTAAACTCTTTTTACTATTTAAAATTTTAAAGTTAAATATTGTGTCTTGACAGAAAGGTTGGTAAGCTATTTTTAAGGTATAAATACATCATAAAAAAAAATTTCCACATACGTTTTTTACTAATTTTTATAAATACCACTCAGAAAAAGTGCATTGAAATGTGTAATCAGGCAGCCTTCTAAACAACTGGTGTGTCCAAAGGGGACATCACTCAGTGCTATCTGAGTGTGAGCGGAGACCACACTTGGGCTGCCATATCTGGGAAGGGAGAGAGGACACGCTGCTCCTGAACGGGAGCTGTTCATGGGACTGTCTGCCTACGGACACCCCACCAGCTCTGTGTCCCAGCTTTTCCGAAGGGACGCCTTTGAAAGCAAGCGCCACCTTTCTGGAAGTCTGGTTCAGTCTCTAACCAGAGACTAAGGCAGTGCCTGGAACCTTAGCACAGGGGGTGTAGTGAGCACTCAGCAAGTACTAGCCGGGTGAACCCCCCGAATGAAGGCTTCATCAGGTGACGTTCCTATTCAGGGTGGAACTCCCAAGCCACATCCACAGAACATGGTTTAGGGTCCTGCACGCGTCTCACTGGGAGTTGGCAGCATGTCATTCCTGTGCGGTGTCTGCTCTCCCAACATGGGCTAAAAACTCTACTGACGTAGTCTCTGTGCTTAGAAAAAGGGCATTAGGAGATTACTAGCCTTTTGAAGACTGTGGGCACATCTCTTGGCACTCCGGGTTGCTCTCTGCTCGGATGCACTCTCCAAAGGGTTTCCTGGAGGGCGGACGCTAACCTTTCTGGATCGCGAACCCTTGGGGTCTGAACGTCCCGTCCCTTCTTTCTCTTCCTGCTTCTTCACCGGGATGTCCACCCTCCCCTCCCTCGCTTTCTCCTCTGCAGCCTCAGGCAAAGGCATCTGGTTCTGCCTCCCAGGTCTCGAGCGCGTCCTCCTCTCTTCAGCTTTGCCCCCAGAGGCAGGCTTCTCGGCTCCATCTTCAGGGCTTTGGAGCTTCATCTCCTGGGAGGTCTGCACAGACTTCTTTTCGCTTCTCTTTATTTTTACCTTTTCTGCTGATATAAGAACCTCAGGTCTTTGCTCCTCTACACAAGTTTTAGCAGGACGCCTGGAACGCAGGGACACTCCCTAAAAAAATTCAAAAGACATCCACAAAATGTCAAGAATGAAGAATACCAATTACAAATCTCAACATGGAAAACATCATTTGAAAGTGAACTCAAAGGAGAATCAATTGCAACATCTTCCACTGATTCGTGTCCTAACATGCAAGAAAGTCTAAGCAAGTCAGGGTGTACCTGTCAGTTTGCTCCTGCAGAGAAATCACCATTTCCACCAATAAACCCTAAGTAAGGGATTCAGTATGAACTCTAACCACAATGTCTGTCATAGATGTCAATGTGATAATAACAAGTGCTAAAAGGGTATTCCAGGAAAACACCCCATTATTCAGACAGTAAATGAATTCCTACTCCTTCAAGTCATTGCTAGAGCAGGACAGGAAAATTTCAATTTCTGGAATCCAATGTACAAGCCTCTCTAACAACACTTAGAGCTTCCCTAGTGGCTTAGATGGTAAAGAATCTGCCTGCCACGCAGGGGACCTGGGTTCAATCCCTGGGTCGGGAACATCCCCTGGAGAAGGAAATGGCAACCTACTCCAGTATTCTGCCTGGAGAATTCCATGGACAGAGGAGCCTGGCGGGCTACAGTCCATGGGGTAGTGAAGAGCTGGTACACGACTAAGCGCCAAACACTTTCACTGACAACCCTGACAGTTATGGTCTTCCCAGGACACGTGCACCCTGGGTAAACTGTCCTCATGTTTAAGCACTGATATAGATGCTACTTGCACTCAGCACTCGGGGTCTCAGTGTCTAGAACAAGGTAGGACTGAGTCGCCCACTTTTTCTTGGCACAAAGCTCCATACCTTTGAAGATGAACATAGGAAGATCCCCTGGAGAGTGAAACAGCAACCCACTCCAGTATTTTTGCCTGGAGAATCCCATGGATACAGGAACCTGGAGAGCTACAGTCTATGGGGTCGGAGTCAGACACAACTGAGCAACTAAACAGCTCTGTAAGTCCTAAGGGGATGCTTTCCAGTGGTCTGCAGCTACTCACTGTGTTGACTGTGGACCCCGAGGGAAAAGGGACCCACACTTACAATGGGGTTACATACAACTGATCACAAATTTACGCCAGAATGGAGAGCATCCACCCGAGTTGCCACGCTGTGCCAAGTCATTCAATCATGTCCGATTCCTGCCCAGCTCCTCTGTCCATGGGATTTTCCAGGCAAGAATACTGTAGTGGGTTGCCATTCCCTCCTCCAGGGGATCTTTCCAACCCAGGGACCAAATCCGCATCTCTCACATCTCCTGCGTCGGCAGGCAGGTTCTTTTTGACTGTCGCCCCCTGAGAAGCCCACAGGGCACAATCACATCACTCCTCCCATCACCTTATTCGGAGCCTGTGCGACTTCTCCTCGTGGATCCGTAGCTTTAGTTTTCAGGTCATCGTCCGGCAGGTTTCCCACAGGCTCAGTCCTTTGTGCCAAAGTCCGCAGACTTCTCTTCTTCACTCTCGAGGGTGAGGGGGGCCCCCGTGTCTCCCCGGGGGCTGTCCTCTGCTTCTTCTGGAGTGGCCTCTCGTCCTCGGGGTCCTGGGCAGCTGTCACGGGGTGCAGCCTCTTCCTGCCTGTGACCCTCCCGTCTTCTCCCTGGTCCCTCTCGGGGGACGGGGAAACGCAACTTTCACCAGGGAGTTTGGCCGGGTCTCTGCTGCCCACAAGGTCTTCTGTGAATCTTAGTTTACGGGCCCTGAGGACTCTTCGGGATGTTTCGACAGGTCTTCTGTCCGCTGTTTGCTTTGGGGCTCTCTTGATGGCAGTAGCATTGCTTTCCAGTTCCTCGGCCTGATCGGGCTTTTGGAAGGGCTCCTGGAAACAGGCCGCGTCTTCCACGGTCTTCTCCTTAAATGCTTTTCGCCGACTCCTGACGCCAATGACGTCTTCTGCAGAGTCTGGGCTCCTCCTTGACGTTTCCTTGGCCGTCCTCATCTTGTTCTCATCGCCCACAGGTTCTGTGTGCGTGGTTTCCCCTGGAGTCTGTGCGGGCCTGCTGAGCGCTGAGGGTTCGTCTACAGCCGCTTTTCCTGGTGGTGACCTGAGCTGTCTCTGTCTGCCTGTTCTCCTGGTGACTGGCTGTGCTGGCGGAGACTGGCGGGGCGCTGGAGCCGTCGTAACATCACTCACTGGCTCCTGGGCCCCATCTCGCCTTTGAAAGAGCTCTTTGACACCGGCCGGGTCTTCCAGGGGTTGGGTCTCTTCCTTCAGGGTTCTTAGCCGGCTCCTGACCCCGATTACATTTTCTGCTGGATTGAGTTTCTGCTTTGAATCTTCCTTCAATACTCTGTTGTCTTTTTCATCACATACAGGCTCACTGTGTGTGGTTTCCCGCGGTGTTTGTGTGGGATCTCTAAGCGCTGAGGGCCTTTCTACATCCACTTTCTCTGGCAACGACTTAAGCTGCCTACTTCTGCTTGTTGGTCTGGTGACGGGTTTTGCTGGTGGAGACTGGCAGGGCATTGGAATGGTTGTAACATCACCCTCTGGTTCTTTGGCCTGATCTGGGTCTTGGAAGAGCTCTTTGACACTGGCCGGGTCTTCCAGGGGTTGGGTCTTTTCCCTCAGTGTTCTTAGCCGACTCCGGACTCCAGTTACATTTTCTGCAGGATTGAGTTTCTGCCTTGGATTTTCCTTCCGCACTCTGCTGTCTTTTTCATCACCTACAGGCTGGCCCCACGTGCTTTCCCCTGGTGTTGGTGTGGGCTCTTCTTTGTCCACTTTCTCTGGTGATGACTTGGGCCGCCTCTTTCTGCTTGTTGGTCTGGTGACTGGTTCTGCTGGTGGGGATGGGCGGGGCCCTGGAGCTATTGTAACATCACTCTCTGCTTCTTTGGCCTGATCTGGCTTTTGGAAGAGCTCTTTGACACTGGCTGAGTCTTCCAGGGGTTGGGTCTTTTTCTTTAGTGTTCTTAGCCGAATCCTGATGCCTGTTACACTCTCTGCAGGACTGAGTTTCTGCCCTGAAGTTTCCTTCAACACCTTGATGTCTTTTCCTTTGCCTACAGGCTCTGTGTGTGTATCCCCGGGTGTCTGTGTGGGCCCTATGGATGCTGAGGGCTCTTCCATGGCCACTTTTCCTGGTGGTGACCTGAGCCGTCTCTGTCTGGTCGTTCTCCTGGTGATTGGTTTTGCTGGTGGAGACTGGTGGGATGCTGGAGCGATTTTTACATCATTCCTTAGTTCCTCAGTCTGGTTGGGCTTTTGGAAGGGCTCTTTGACCCTGGCTGGGTCTTCCGTGGGTTGGGCCTTTTCTTTAACGTTTCTTAGCCGACTCTTGATGCCAGTTACACTTTCTGCTGAGACCAGTTTCTGCCTTGAAGTTTTCTTACACACTTTGGTGTCGTTTTCATCCTTTGCAGCTTCTCTGTGCATGCATGTGGCTTCTCCTGGAGCCTGGGAGGGCCTCCTGAGTGCTGAGGGCTCTTCCACACCCACTTCCTCTGGGGATGACCTGAGTTGTTTCTTTCTGCCTGTTCTCCTGGTGACTGATTCTGCTGGTGATTTACAGGGTATGGTGGGGGGCTGGTCATCGATCATTATGGGTTGCTTTGCATGATCTGGGGTTTGGAAGAGCTCTTTGAAGCCACTCAGGTCTTCCAGGGGCTGGGCTTTCTCCTTAGGTGTTCTTGGCTGCCTCTTGCGTGCAGTTATGTTTTCTGCAGAGTCTGGTTTCTCTTCTGGAGCTTCCTGAGACACTGCAGGAAGCTCACTGCCTCTGTGACCACCTTCTGGTTCTCTGTGTGAGTATGTGGTTTCCCCTGGTGTTTGCTGAGGCTTCCTGAGAGCTGAGCAGTTTTCCTTCCTGTCCACCGTCTGGGAAGGTGTCCTGAGAGGTCCCCTTCTACCTGGTGTTATGGTGACTGGTTCTGGTTGTGGAGACCGGCAGAGCATTTCAGGGATACTGTTATCAGTCACTGGTTCCTTGGATCGATGTGGGGTTTGGAAGAGCTCTTTAAAGCCATCCAGGTCTTCCAAGAGTTGGGCCTTTTCCTGGGGTGTCCTTGGCTGCCTCTTGCTTGCAAATAAATTTTCTGCAGGGTCTGGTTTCTCTTCTGGAGTTTCCTGAGATGCTGCAGGGCTTCTGTCACCACCCTTTGGTTCTTTGGGTAAGTGTGTTGTCATCCCTGGTGTCTGTGTAGGCTTTCTGAGAGCTGAGCGGTCTTCTTGCATGTCCACTTTTTGGGAAGGTGTCCTGAGACTTCCCCTTCTACCTGGTGTTATGTTGACTGGTTCCAGTGGTGGAGACTGACAGAGTATCTTGGGGGTTTTGAGAACAGCCCTTGGTTCTGTGGTGTGATCTGGGGTCTGGAAGAGCTCTCTGAAGCCAGTCAGGTCTTCTAGAGATTGGACCTTTTCCTTGGGTGTTCTTAGCTGCCTCTTAATCCCAGTCACATTTTCTGCAGGGTCCGGTTTCTGCCTTGGTGTTCCTGTGAACGCTTTGATGTCTTCCCCATCACCTGCTGCTTCTCCTTCTGAGTGCCTGGCTCCCCCTGGAGTCTGTGCAGGCCTCCTGAGTGCTGAGAGCTCCTCCTCTGTGCCCACTTTCCGGGGAGGTGACTTGAGTCGTCTCTTCTTACTGGCTGGAGTGTTGATTGTTTCTACTGGTGATTTATAGGGTGTTTTGGTGGTTTTGTCATCAGTCATTGATTCCCTGGCTTGATCTGGGGTTTGGAAGAGCTCCTTGAAGCCAGTCAGGTCTTCCAGGGACTGGGCCTTTCCCTTGGGTGTCCTTGGTCGCCTCTTCGCTGAAGGTACCTTTCCTGCAAGGTCTAGCTTCTCTTCTGGGGCTTCCTGAGACACTGCAATGCCGCTGTCACCACCCTCTGGTTCTCTGGGTGACTGTGTGGCTTTTCCTGGTGTTTGTTGAGGTTTCCTGAGAGCTGAGAGGCCTTCCTTCACATTCACTTTCTGGGAAGGTGTCCTGAGATGTCCCCTTCTACTTGGTGTGTTGACTGGCTCCGACTGTGGAGATTTGCAGGGTGTTTTGGTGGTTTTGTCATCAGTCATTGGTTCCTTGGCTTGATCTGGGGTTTGGAAGAGCTCCTTGAAGCCTGTCAGGTCTTCCAGGGTCTGGGCCTTTTTCTTGGGTGTCCTTGGTCGCCTCTTCGCTGAAGGTACCTTTCCTGCAAGGTCTAGCTTCTCTTCTGGGGCTTCCTGAGACACTGCAATGCCACTGTCACCACCCTCTGGTGTTTGCTGAGGTTTCCTGAGAGCTGAGAGGCCTTCCTGCACATTCACTTTCTGGGAAGGTGTCCTGAGATGTCCCCTTCTACTTGGTGTGTTGACTGGCTCTGGTTGTGGAGATTTGTAGGGTGTTTTAGTGGTTTTGTCATCAGTTATTGGTTCCTTGGCTTGATGTGGGGTTTGGAAGAGCTCCTTGAAGCCAGTCAGGTCTTCCAGAGGTGGGGCCTTTCCCTTGGGTGTCCTTGGCCGCCTCTTACTTCCAGAAGAATTCTCTGCAGGGTCCAGTTTCTGCTTTGGAGTTTCCTTAAACAGCTGGATGCTTTTAGCATCTCTTGGTTCTCTTTGAGTGGGCGTGGCTTCCCCTGGCATTTCCGAGGGCTTCCTAAGGTCCGAGGAACCTCCTACATCCACCTTCTGGGAAAGTGTCTTGAACTGCATGCTCACCCTGGTGGGCGACCTGACCGCTCCTGGCTTGGGAGACTTATAGCTCATCTTTGTGGCTCTGTTCTCGGCATCCGTCACTTCCTTGGCATGACCAGGGGTCTGTAGGAGACTCAGGATGTCCACCTGGTTCTCCTCGGCCTCTGTGTCCTGCGACCTCTGGAGAGGAGGTCTGCCTCCAGACCTCCTGACCTCCTGACCTCCAGTGGTCAGGTCTGCCGCTGGTTCACACTTCAGCTCTGAGGCTCTTCTTGATCTCCTCACAGCTATCGTCTTTTCAGAATTTTCTTTCGATTCGATGTTTTGCTTACATTTTTCGAAAGACTTTTCACTTTCCTTTGTGTCTCTCTCCAGCTTCGGCTCTGGTTGTGGTGTTTTCTCCAGACGTCTTCCCAAGATGTCTTCCATGGGGTCAGGTTTTGCGTCTTGGCTCTCTGGCCCTGTACCCGGCGTCTGCACACCGCCGAGCTCCGCAGACCTTCTAGACCTGTTTGCACTTGATGGTGCCTTTGGAGTCACTGCCGTGGACACTGGAGTTTTCTTCTCAGCAGCTGTGGTTTTATTCATGCTCCTCGGTGTTTTCCCAGCATCTTCGCTCATTTTAATGCTGGGGCGTCTCAAAGCAGGGCTTGCAGAACTCTGGTCAGATGGCCCTTTTGCTGTATCTTGAGTCCTAGGAAACACATTCTCGCCTGTAAGATATTAAAACACACATGACCAACAGATTCTGTTCTCTATGTTGTACCAATTTGCTATCTGATTCTCATAAAATATTACTTAAAAGCTAGTATTGGCTCCCATCCACCCCAGGATATGAGGCTGTCTCTATCAGAAAGAGATAAATCTGCCTGACGTGAACCACACCCACGTATGAATAATGTTACGGGTGACAAAGAGTGGGGTCATCATAGGTGGTAGTAAGGAGCTACAGGAATTAGGTAAAAGGAAAAAAAATTCCTTAGCAGGGGTTCCCTGGGACTTCCCTGGTGGTCCAGTGGTTAAACTGTCACCTTCCAATGCAAGAGGTATGGGTTCGATCCCTGGTTGGGGAGCGAAGATCCCACATGCCTCTTGACTAAAAAGAAAAACAAAATATGATACAGAAGCAGTATTGTAATGAATTCAATAGACCTGAAAAATAGCCCACATTACAAAAATAACCTTAAAAAAGAAGAAAGAAGGGTCCTCTGAAGGCTGCCACTCAGGTCTCAGTGACAGACATTTTTTTCATCAAGCCAGAGAAACTGCTGCTCAATCCGCTGGACCACCGATGCAAAAACGGGGATTATACTTAGCGCACTCAGGGTCCACAGGAAACATCTATTTTTTTAGCGACAGGAAGCACCTCAAGCACAGCATGCCATTCTCTCTACGACAGGCACATGGTGATCAGTGTGAATGGCAGAGAAGATAGACATCATATGTCCATCTCACACGCATCCTGCGGCAGGTGTCCACACAGGAGATGTGGCAGCACCTGCGCGGTGCCCACCTGCTGCCCTTCTCTTTGCTGACCGCACTTTCACATCTGAGTAATTTACATACAAGTAAGATGAGCGCTTCCCTTGTAGCTCAGGTGGTAAGCAATCTGCCTGCAATGCAGCAGACCCAGGTTTGATCCGCGGGTCAGAAAAACTCCCTGGAGAAGCAAATGGCAACCCACTCCAGTATTCTTGCCTGGAGAATCCCATGGACAGAGGAGCCTGGGGGGCTACAGACACGGGGTCGCAAGAGTCGGATATGACTTAGTGACTAAAACACCACCATGATGAGAGAGGGCTTCCCAGGTGGAGCTAGTGGAAAAGAACCCGCCTCTCAATGCAGGAGACGTAAGAGACACAGGTTCGATCTCTGGGTCGGAAAGATCCCCTGGAGGGCATGGCAACCCATTCCAGTATTCTTGCCTGGAGAATCCCATGGACAGAGGAGTCTGGCGGGCTACATACAGTCCATGGGATCGCAAAGTCAGACACAACAAGCAACCTAGCACACACACACACATGATGAGAGATGATTACACCTGGCTGCTTGTCACCTCTTCACTTATGCAAGATGGAGAAGGCCACGTGCACACAGGGAGCTTACGGTTAGTAAACGGGTTTGCCTTTTTATGCAAGTCTCTGAAAGACAGTGCTGGTTCCACTGCCAATAGAAACTCCTCCCTACAAACAATGGGACAAAGCTGGGCAGTATAAGTATCAGGAGGATCTGTCGTAGAGACATAATACCATAACTGTTGCAGTAAAAGAAGACTGTCTACAGTTCTGACTGAAAAGATCAAAGTGCTGGGGTAAAAAAAGGAAACCAACCAAAATTTTCCAAAGTGCACAGCAGAGGTTTTTCTCCTGAATGAGGTCCTAGAAGCTCTTTTCCAAGCAAATCCTCTGAATTTGGGAAAGTAGGGGGACACATGCTCATCCTTTGCGGCTTCTCTTTCACTGGTGTCTTGAACATTTCAGGCAGCCCTGTTACATCACAACAGTGGAAAAGCAGTTAGTAGATTGTCTATACCTGCAAACAAGCATGCCCGTCCTCAAGCACAAAAGAGGGGATGGCAGAAGGCAAATAACAGATCACCCCCTAGAATTCCTGGGAGACAGGGTCTCAGGAGAGGGTGATGCATTAGTTGTGAACCCATTTTTAGAAGCGGGCACTGGGGAGTTAGATCATATATCACATCTCCTCTGCCCTTCTTAGAAGGATCGAATGAAGGAAGTCGACATCTGCAGTCTTTTAGAGTGTTCTCCAGATGTGAGCACTGCTGAGAGGGCAGAGATTGCCCCGTGGGATCTCCCTACCATGCCTGCCGAAACCTAGGGCCCTCAAGCTCCTTGAAAAAGTCCTCAGGGATGCAGTTCTGAAGTTCATGTACAAAAAAAAGTCTCCAGATTTTAAAAGTGACATAGGACCACCCATTTTTAGTACTCTCAAGTAATAATATCACCTTCTTTTCATTTGAACACCAAAAGGCACTACTAACAAAACCCCAAGGGGGGAGAAAAAATACAGTTCTCTAAAGGGAAGATTTAAGTTTCTCAAGCATTCATTATCCCCCATTCTCCTTATAGTTCTCACTTTAACAACAGTGGATCAAAAGATGCTCTCAGGCTGGCAGCATCTGCAAAGTGTGTCTGGGAGCCTGTTCTGAAGGTGCCCAAGCCAGCCAAGCTTCTTAAAACCTCATCCCTCCACTACTGCTCAGGCCGCACTCTCAAAATATCCAGGATATTCAGGCTTCATCACGTGTTAATGTTTTGTCTTAAAAGTACTCACACTGAGGGTGAACATTGTTCCATGTCTACAAAATGTTTTGAAGGAAGGCCGAGAACATCCATATCCCACGTACTGAGTATTTAAACTCGTCTTCATCTTTGTCTTCATTGTTTCATGACATATACATCAATACACTCAATGTGCATAATTTACAGGGATACACAGATACACATGGAGCAGCATACAAGGTGGTATAAGCTCAGTATTTTTTTTTTAATTTTTATTTAATGTTTGGCTCTGCTGGGTCTTCACTGCTGAGTGGGCTTTTCTCTGGTTGTGGCAACTGGGGGCTGCTCTCGAGTTACGGTGCGCAGGCTTCTCGTGGCGGTGGCTTCTCCTGTTGCGGAGCGTGGGCTCTGGAGCGCAGACGCAGTACTTGAGGCGCAGGCGCAGTACTTGAAGCCCACACGCATAGTTACTCCGCAGCACGTGGGATCGTCCCAGACCAGGGCTCGAACCCGTATCTCCTGCATTGGCAGGCGCATTCTTACCCACTGAGCCACCAGGGAAGCCCAAGCTCAGAGTTTTTTTCATCCCTCAGGGAGCATCCTGTCAGGATGCTGGTTACCACTGTTCTAATTTTTGTAGTTTGCTTTTAAAAAGCTAAATGTGTTGCTCCAGATGTGACTTTCATTAGAGGGTTATCTTGCATCCTTATGTAAGTGGTACAGTGATTTTCCCATCTGAAAATCTGCCAGGAGATAAAAAGGGGATACCACCTAATGGGTTCAAGAGTCACCCCCCACTGGAAGCGGGAGCTCAGAATGGGGAGTACCGGCAGACGGTGCCCTGAGAGCATAAACTCTCAAAGCCAGGGTCCTGCCGTGGCCCTAGGCTGGGCCAAGCGTAAGCCGGGCGCATCACACTCTAAGACCGGCAACACTGGTTCAGCTATGAGAGGTTCAAGGAAGCCCTGCCACAGGACTTCGTTCCACGGAACAAGGGGAGGGCGTCTCCAAGCAGCAAAATACGGCTTAAACCAAACAGTCCAACTCTGGGGTAAGCTGCTGGTAGGAATGCCAGCCTGGTTTCCTCACCACAAGGCGGCGGCCAGCTTTCCTGTACCTATGCCGCTCTCCCAGGTAACGGTGTGTGTTTCCTTAGGTGCCCACCAAGGGTCTACTGAACAGCACATGGAGCTATCCTCCATATCTCGTAGTAACCCGTGATGGAAAAGAATTTTAAAAAGAATATAGCTGTCACCCGGTGGTCCAGTGGTTAAGAATTTGCCTTCCAATGCAGTGGACATGGGTTTGATCTCTGGTCAAGGAACTAAGATCCCGTATGTCAGAGGGGCAACTAAGCCTGTGTGTCTCAACTACTGAGCCTGCGTCACCACGACTAGAGAGAGGCCTGCGTGCCACAAAGACGGCCTGACACAGCCAAAGGAGTAAAACAGCTAAAGAAATATCTTTTTAAAATAATTATATACATATATATTTGAATCTCTGTGCTGTACACCAAAAACTAACGCAACACTGTAAACCAACAACTCTCCAATCCAAAGGGAAAACAGGTGTGCATTTCTCGTCTACTTCCTGTAGGACATGTGACCCCACGCTGTCGGGGATCGGTCCATGTTCTCCAATCCCGCTCCCTCTCCCTTGAACACCATGCGGCACCCCACCCCCCGCCCCCGAGTTGTCTGGGTTATTTATCTTCCTGTCCCAGGCACAGCAGATAAACAAACGAGACGTCCAGCCGCGTGGGACCCGCAGGAGGAGGACAGGGCTCTGGTTTCTAAGAGCCAGGGCTGCGATCTTACCTGAAAGATCTTCACTGAAGTCCCTTGGTTTGCTGACCATGAAGCTGTTTATCACCCTGTAGGGTCGAGCCGGCCCGGTCACTTTCTCGAGCTGAGCCTTCCCTATGACGATGGTGCAGGGAGAGTTCGCGTGGCCAGTGCTAAACTGACTGTGAACGGTGCTGGGCGGCTTCTGGAAAACAATCGGGAGATTGACAACATGTCAAAGCCTGAAAGCCACCCTTCGCGTCCCCCTGACGCATGAAGAGCACACACCACGTCGGAACACGCACCTTCGGAGTGTTGGCTCTCCTCTGCCGTCTGCCCAGCTGCTTGGGAGGGCCACGCTTCGCAGCTTTGTGCTGGGCCTGCTTGGCACCGAGCTTCACCACGTCTGCCCACGATCTTGCCACTGTCACGGGGAAGAGATGCGGAGACATTCCCAAACCGGCACCCAGGGGAAAGTCCACCTCAAACCGCACCTGCAGACACCACGCACTCACCAATCAAATTGGCCTCCGAGGCGCCGCTCCTTCTCCTGGAGAAAATGGTCTGGAGGATCCCGTGCTGGCTCCGCTCCAGGGACGCTTTCTGGGCAGGGAGGCCGCTGCTCCGTCTCCCCCCTCTCTTGGGGACATCTGTCTGACGTGGGGACCCGCCGACCCCGGACACGCAAGACACCTTGGACAGCCTGCGGCATCGGTTGGGTGTGGCCGCAGAAGCGTGGACTGCGTGAGGAGCCGGAGAGCTCATGAAGGTGTCCAGTGAGGTCACTTTCAGATGGACTTCTGAAGAATCTTCTTTCCCTGATGGCTGGGGCTGCTCCTGGCAAGATTGGAATGTGTGTAGGAAATCTTACCACAAATACAACATCTGTGTAATGAACGAATGTGAAAACCCTATCCGCTCAACAATTTTAGTTGTGTAAATCTTGAAGCACTGACTGCTTTGACTGGTGTCTGTCAAGCATACAGTGGAGACAGGAGTCTGTGTCTCTCATTTAAAAAGAAGAGGGAAAAGAGAGCACTGAATAAGTCTTAACTGAGGCATTGCCAGTGGAAAGGTGGAAAGAACTTCCTGATGAGTGGGGCTCTGATCTATATCCAAGGAAACACCCTCCGTGGGAGTCTAACCACCTTGGGTCAGCATGGGTTCCAAACCCATTGGAAGGATGGGTTCGGCACATTTCCGGGGCTCATATAAAACAGACAGGAAGGAGACATACCTCATGCTCCTATACCAACAGGAAAAGATCATTAATTGAAATGAAAAGAAATTAAAGATTGCCCAGGCCCTCTGAAGAACGGGAGCTACGGGGGGAGGCCACACCTCTCTCGAGATGTAAGATCATGCCCCTAAAGGGTCAGTGATGAAAAATTCTAAAGACCTGACGGTCAAAACCATGGTGTGCTTGCCATCCAAGCTCTGTCATTTCACTTTGTCATTCTAAAAGGGAAAAAAAATGAAAATCTTATGGCTCTGTCTTTCCAAATGGTATTAACTATAACCTAAGAGTGACCACCTGGCCCAGAAGCGTGGTTGGCAGGAGGCCTCTGCAGAGAAGGGAAGTCCCGAGGACCCATCTGTGCTCAGCCACACTTGGGTTGTGGTTTGGATTAGGGGCCCATTTGCCAACACCCCTGGGAATGCATTCTCACAGAGATGTTGATGCTTTTTACTATTTTATTAGGTAAAAAAAAGTCTTCACTGTCATTCTACTAGTGTGAGGGGTTTGGAAAGAGTGAAAAAAAAAGTGTTCGTCACTTCAGTCGTGTCCAACTCTTTGCAACCTCATGGACTGTAGCCCACCAGGCTCCTCTGTCCATGGGATTTCCCAAGCAAGAATACTGGAGTGGGTTACCATACCTTCTCCGGGGATCTTCCTGACCCAGGTATTGAATCCGGGTCTCCTGCACTGCAGGAGGATTCTTTACCACTGAGCCGCCAGGGGAGCTCCTTGGAAAGAGTGTGGACCAAGGATGTAGACCATCATCAGACCCCGGGGGAGACCCGCGGAACCTCACCTTGATGATTTTCTTCAGGACAGTGGGCGTGTGGGCGGCCAGCGACCGTCTTTGCTTTGGCGTCTCTCCTCTTTTGAGAGGTGTGTTGGGAGGTAAGTTTTCATCGAATAATTCGGGTCTCAGGCGACCCCCAAAGGAGACGCGTCTCCTCTTCGCAGCCACGTCCTCCATCTTATCTAGAGGAATGGGCACAGACGTCAGACTGCAAAGGAGACTGCGCCGCAGGTGCGACCTGCTTCCACTCACCATTAAAGACAAACCTACTGTGAGTTCAGAGGCCTGGCACCTCTCCTCCTTCATCCTCTCCTGATGCTGACAAAGCTAACGGAAGATCCAGGACAAACCGCGAAATGCCAAGGCCCAACAAGGCCTCTCTTTACACGCTGACAAGCCCTGTGCGGACGGAGCCCCTGATCAGTGGTTCCCACTGTGGACCAGGGGGATGCCAGCAGTGAGCTCTCTGATCAGTGGCTCCCACTGTGGACTAGGGGGGATGCCAGCAGTGAGCTCCCTGATCAGTGGTTCCCACTGTGGACTAGGGGGGATGCCAGCGGTGAGCTCCCTGATCAGTGGTTCCCACTGTGGACCAGGGGGATGCCAGCGGTGAGCTCCCTGATCAGTGGTTCCCACTGTGGACTAGGGGGGATGCCAGCGGTGAGCTCCCTGATCAGTGGTTCCCACTGTGGACTGGGGGGATGCCAGCGGTGAGCTCCGACAGTGGCCTGAGTAGGCTTTCCCAAGGAACTCACACTCAGGCCTCACTTAGACCTGCATGTGAGTGGAACCAGGGGCTGGAAGCTTCTCCCGGAGATCTGGACAGACAGGCCCAGCTACACACACCTTTGTGAGCTGCTTATCAACACGAAACCTTGTCTAAGCAACATGCCCCATTTGTGACACTCATGGGGACACCACGAAGTCATGCACATGAGTCTGATCTCAGAAGCAAACACCCCACCCACGGGCTCCCTGCAGATGCAGAGCTGACAGCCGGGCACAGCCTCAGAGCACCCGGGGGTCCCCTAAGGAGTGTGGGAGGCCTCCGAGCTGCCACACCTGCTCCGCGGGTCACATCTCGACCACCTGCGGTGCCATCAGGTGACTGGTTTCCCCACTTGCAAAAGGAAGGGAATACGACACCTGCCCCACGGGCCCACCTGCTGCCAGCATGGAAGATGGGAAGCGAGTGTCTGAAGGGCACTTAGAGCAGCAGCTGGCACATGAACCCAGGGAGGTGGTCCGCGGGTGTCCCAAGAACCACCCCGCGTGAAGAGGTTTCCAAGGGGTTTCCACTGCTTATTCTAAAGGCTTGACTTATGGATATAAGAGCTTATAGTTCAGAACTGAACTCCTATGTAAAGTAACTACGCTTAAGCTTATTCTCCCAAGAATCAAATATATTTTGAGGCCACGTTATCTCCTTAGACCGCTGCTAATTCTTTTCCTAGTAACCAGCACCTCCTCCGGTTGGTGGGTTTTCAGGGTTTCCACATAAATCTACGAGCAGATGACGAAAATGGCTCTTTATCACGGTCCCTTGTGGCTCACAGGGCGAATCATTAGCGAATGAAGGGAGGGACCGCTAATTCACATCTAGATGCAAGGCAGGTGCAAACTTTAGGGGGGAAATAAATGGACACTTAACAGCCTTACCTGTGGAATCACCGAAGCTGCAGACGTCAGCTGCACCGAGACTGGATAACCCAGGGCCCACCTGTCTAGCTGCCGGGCCCAGCTTCTCAGGCTTATTGAGAAAATCGCTTTGAATCTTCTTTTCAACTTGAAGGACCAGTGGAGCTGAAAGCATCGGATGTGGAATCTCTGTTTCTGCAGTCAGACGGTCAACATTTGTAGGCATACTCTTCCTCTTTCTGGAGAAAAGCTTTTCCGGTGTATTCCCAAAACTCCCAGCTTTAACGGGTGTTTGATTTCTAGGCAAGAACTTCTGGGGTGTGAGCGTCTTATCATCTGCCCCGGAGCCTTCACCTTGGTCTAGATTCTGAGATACACAGCCACCGATGACACTCGGGTCTTCACTCCGCCGCCTCCGGGAGGGACTATGTGGTGAACACCGCACGGGGGTCCTGGTTTTCCTTGTCTCCGTCTCCGCGCGGGCGATACCAGGACTCCTGGGCTCCTTGGGCGTCTGAACCGGCTCCCCACTCCCCTCTCCCTCAGTCTGGCTACTTGCTTGCTCTCCCAGACTGGGGTCTGCCTTCATGTGGGGGCTTCGGCCCGACTTCCATCTGGATTTGGGGGAGACCAGAGTCTCGTCCTGTAACCCGTCAGCACTTTCTCTGCCTGTTGTGCAGTGACGCTGCGGTCCTGATTTTCGGCGATTCTGCAGAACATTGCCTTTTCCTGGGTTCACATCTAACCCCACTTTCATCGACTCGTAAAGCTTCCTAAAGGGAGACTCACTTTGGTCACGCCTCTTAAGACACTGTATGGAGGAAAGAGCCTTCGGTTCTTCACGACAGGCCCCTGATGCTACACTGGGATCTTCTTTCAAGTCCCCAGCGGTGGGATCCGCCGCACCTCTGCAGTTATCTCCAGGAAGTTCTGAGGAAGGAACGCGACTGGGTGTTCTCCTGGCAGCATGGCCCTCCCCGCGCCCTGAGACGGCGTGTGCGGCCGTGACGTCCTCCCCGTGGGCCACAGGCCTTCCCGAGACAGCTTCTCCCGCGACTTCTGAGCAGGCGCCGGGATCCTGAGCTTCCCCTTCGTGACAGTGAACTACGAAATAAGAGGAAGTTCGAGATTTTCTCAGTGATTTTAACACGGGCAATATGCACATTTTTTACACTATTTCAAATTGTCTTAAAAACCTGGCTTTTCACTTGGCCTAAAACTTTCTTAATGTCCAAAATGTATGGTGACAGTATTCTGATACTAGTATTACAAACTAAATAAATAAATCACTTCAGTGGATGATAGCCAGTATCAGGCATCAAGTGCTATCAATCTGCTCAGAATTAAGGGGACAGCTGAGCCAGACAATCTGTCTCCACGTGCACCCTCCAACAAGCATGGCGCCTAAACATCACTTGGGGAAAAGGTTAACTCAGGTGCATGCCTGTCTGTCCCTTCCTCACCACAAATCTACATAAAGAACTCATCTTACAGAATCTCAGGAAAACAAACGAAAACAAAAAACTACTAACCTGGGTTGGAAGATAAGCTGGATCGTGAGACCCGACGCGATGTCTCCTGTGAATGGGCAAAATACGAAGATCGATTTAGAAGCCTTTTCAGATACTGACAGTAAATCATATTTACTAAGATACTCTTCCGGTGGATGGCCTTCTCTACCCTACTGTTCTTTAGGACTTGAAGAGACTTTGGCAAATGAGCCCAGACCTCGGGGTGCTGGGGCTCGTAACACAAGCAATTCTCAGATGATTTTTTTAAAATATAGTAGTAGAATAAGGAACAGAAACTTAGAATTGCTTAAATTAAACCTCAGTGACTTCTTCTAACTCCACTGAACTCCTGTGAAAGAAGAATCAAAGCTGAAAGTCAACATCACCTACCCTCAGGGTCTGGGAACCTACCAAAGGCAGAGCCATCAACTTCACACTCAGTTTTAGCAAAAATTGGCTACAAGATCCGTGGGTGAAGTGGGATTAATTTAGCATGTGGGCTCTTTGTTGGCAGATACTAGAGGTGTATCTGACAGCCCAGGAGTTAAGAGGTGAGTGAGTAGATCACCGGGATCAGACCTAGCTTTCCTGCTTGGCCGCCTTCACGATCTTTCCCAGGCAGCTTTTTATCAGATGAAGAATGACTACAGAATAACAAGAATGCAAGATATAGAAGTCCAGTACTGTTCCAAAGTTAGAAAAATAAGGTCCTCTGAATCACTAGGGGTGGGGGAAATCACAAAATACACCCAAAGGCAAATACTTTAACTTCTGTCTTTAATTAATTTCCGATTTCTTGGTATTGAATGCACTGCTTCTCAAACTCCCTGTGTGAGGGATCAGTTTCTGAACAATAAAAATGAATTAAAATTTAAAAATCTGTACAAAATATAAGCCCGTATTTGTCTGCATGATAATATCCAACAATCATAAAGATCACAGTCAGATAAAATGTTCCAAGTATTCAATTTCAATATTTCCATTATCACAACAACCCAGATATCACTCAGGTCACAGACCCTTGGGACCTCCTATCTAACCCTTAGTTCAGCTTTTTGATTGGTTTCTTTGTACCTACTCACAAGTTAAGAGAAACAGGCTCGCAAACTCCAGGAGATAAGGAAGGACAGGGAAGCCTGGCATGCTGCAGTCCTTGAAGCCACAGAGTCGGACACGACTGGGCAACTGAATAAGTCGGGGCGGGGGGTGGTAGGCAGGATGGATGCCTCAGAAGCTGTGCGTGAGTGTTTAGTTGCTCAGTCATGTCCGAAACTTTCTGACCCCATGGACTGTAGCCCATCAGGCTCCTCTGTCCATGGATTTTTCCAGGAAAGAAGACTGGAGTGGGTTGCTGTTACCTCCTCCAGGGGATCTTCCCGACCCAGGGACCAAACCCACATCTCCTGCACTGGCAGGCGGATTCTTCACCACCTGGGAAGCCCTCAGAAGCTAGCCTTCCCCCAAAGCTGATGAGCAGGTTGACATTAGTTACTTCTCTCGGGAAGGAGCACCTTCAAGGGCAGAGCCTCCGGCTGATCTCAGGAGTCCCTGTGATAAGACTCTTAAGCCAGGGTGTTCCAACCTGTTCAGACAAGACTAGCTTGAGTAGCTTTGTAAAAAGGAGGACAGATAGGAAGTCTCAGGATTTACCTGGAACCTTCCAAGTCCTACTAAATCTCCCAGAACTGCATTTTAGGAAGATGGACCATGTGGAATGTGTTTTCTCCACTGATAAACAAAAGGCAGTGACTGTCTTTCAGTGTCATGGGTCATCTGTCCATCAAACCTGGAAAGCATCTCTGGCACCCACAACTCTGATGTGATTATCTCAGGAAAATAAAAATGGATGAATAAATGGGACACAGAATGAACCACTGGATCCTATGTTTCTGGAATCTGAGTTCTGTGTTAGGGCTGTCTTAACCAAAGGTTTGCAAAATCAGATTGTGAGACACTTGAGGAGACTTTGGGGCCCAAAGTGTAATACTCAGTATTCCCATGTTGAATAAAAGAAGAACAATAGCTTAAAAAATATATCTAAGTTCAACTTGTTTTAACATCTTAGTGACACTTTCCTACTCTAACTGGTAAACTGTTCTCCCGTGTAAGAAAACACAGTGTCAGTGAAGACAAATGCTTTCATATCATCATGCAAAAAAGACTCAGAGCCCAAAGCTGGATAACATCCCCCATCACCTGGTCCCGTCTTTGTCCTGGAAATCCAGGTGACTTGCTTGCATCCTGATGACTTTCATGTTCATACCTGAAGTGCACAGAATCATAGACACATATTCAGATTAAAGATTTGTGACTGAAAATAAAACTTCTATATCTGACTAATGTCCAAGGGGCAAGGAACAAACTTCGGTTTTATTCAAGATATTACTTTATTCAAAGAAAGACATTTAGAGTTAGAGAAGTGTTTTTCACGAAAAACTTAGGTAAATTGCCTTGTTTCTTTCAGAACACCATCATGAGAGATTGGGACCAGATTAATTTCTGAACCCTAACTAGCCTTTATGATTCATCAATATCTCTGAGCATCTACTCTGTTGGAACCGACTGCGTAATAGAACAAAATCGAATGTTTTTGCTCATGGAAATCATCTGATGGCACGGAAGGTTAATCAAGAAGCTGGGTGGTGTCTATCACCTTTTATCACTTTGTGATGTCATTCACTGCAGTAATTACAGAGCTATACTGTAACTTCAGATCACTATGAGCTCCAAGCTACTCCATCTGTGTCTGAACAAAGGCATGTTTTAGGAAGATGTAAAGATGTTTAGGAAGAGACATGGTTGTTCTAACAGACTTCGGGTATCAATTCACAGAACAACATTTTATGACACATACTGAACTTAAGTACCCAGGTAAGAGAGGATGAAAAGAATTTAGATGCCACCTAAGTAAGATGTAAAGGCTGAGCATCGAAGAATTGATGCTTTTGCACTGTGGTGTTGGAGAAGACTCTTAAGAGAGTCCCTTGGACTGCAGGGAGATCCAACCAGTCCATCATAAAGGAAATCAGTCCCAGATATTCACTGGAAGGACTCATGCTCAGAAACTCCAATACTGTGGCCACCTGATATGAAGAACTGACTCCTTGGAAAAGATCCTGATGCTGGGAAAGATTGAAGGCAGGAGGAGAAGGAGACAACACAGGATGAGATGGTTGGATGGCATCACTGACTCAGTGGACATAAGTTTGAGCAAATTTAAGGAGATAGTGAAGGACAGGGAAGCCTGGTGTGCTGCAGTCCATGCACAAAGAGTCAGACACAACTTAGTGACTGAACACCACCACCAAGTAAGACTGAAGGTGTCAAGCATCTGGAATTGTTTCTCATGGTACCAGAGTTCTGAATCAAGCCCTTCTTCCTCAAACCCATTTTCTATTTGCTGCTAGAGGTATTTAATCATCTCAATCTTAATCTGAGCAGCATCTCATTTGGGGGAAATAGTTCTGGTTCTCCATTCCACATCGGATATTTCCTGTCTAGAAGTCTCTATCCAATAAAAATACCCTTTAAAAATGAAGGCAAATGCACAAAAAGCACAGAAAAAGAAATGATCAGGATATTCAAATTAGGAAATATCTATTGAATACAAATGAAGGCAATGATGAAAACAGAGTTCCATTTAGCAGAATGATGACAAAAAAGATCCAACTATTAATATATTGCTTCCTACAACAGATACAGTTGAGAATCAGACAAAAATGGTACGCAAAAAAAAAAAAAAAAAATTCATTTATCTGAAATTCAAGCTTAACTGAACATCCTGGGTTTTTTTGCTTTGTTTTGTTTTACTGAGTCTGGCAACCTTATTGATTTGGTCACAGAAAATCGCTTACAGCATGTAAATTCTTCTAGACTTCACTCTCTTTCATATGGGATGAAAGACCTTTCTCCTTCATCCTCTACTTTCCAAAAGAGAACATCAAGGAACTCAATTTGCCTGCATGATGAGTTTCTATTTAAGACATCTTTATGACTGTATTTAACCTGTAGTTAAGTGTGCTTTGGCTAAATGTCTAACTTACAGTACTTATAATCATTTAATGTTCAGTAAAAACATTTTTAAAGTATATATTTTCTTAAAAAGACACAAATAGAATGAAAGTATAATGATGTAGAAAGATACATCAGGCAAACAGCAACCAGAAGACAGGTTCAGAGGTTGTACCAACACCAGACAAAATTAACTTTAAGATAAAAATTATTTAGAGACATTGCACATTTTACAATGATGAAAGGGTCAATCTGTCAAGATCAACCAGTTACAGACAAAAGTGCATCTAGCAGCTCGTTCCTAGAGACCATCTAAAACCTTAAGGATTATGAAAGTTGAAAGCAATGTGATTTTTTTAAAAAAAGCAAAAAGAATTATAGTATGAAATCTCTCACCAAAAGCATTACTAAAGGTACAGGACATTACAGAATGATACATGATGGAGCTTCATCCTCCCAGAGGAGATAATTCTTAATTTAAGCCCGCAGTATGGCCTGAAAATAGAGGAAGCAAAAACCTACAGAGCTAAAAACAAAAAAGAAAAAAATCCTAAATGCATGATTACAACTTACCTGTCCAAGTAAGTAAGAATCAGCAGAAAACATTACCAGCATTATAAGAATTTGAATCTTATGGACCTATACAGATAGAACACTCTGCCCAAGCAGCTGTGGAACACATGTTCTTTTCAAACACACAGGACAGGTTAGTACAGGGTTAACCACATCTGATCATAAAAAGCAAGCCCTGACTCATTTCTAAAACAAAATTGCTCAAATGTCCATCCAAAAAGAATGGTATATATCTGTGTATAAAACTGGTTAATTCAAAGAAATCCTTAAGTGGTGAGAAGGAATCAACTGGGATGGGTCCACGCATCCCATCCATGCCGTGAATCTCACAACCAGATCAGAACTCAGTCACAAGTGTATGCAGTTTAATAAAAGCAGACAAAACCGTAGTGGTGAGAGATGCAAGCTTAGAGGAGAACTCCAAAGCCTCTTAGGCTATCAGAAAAGCCACACTCTCGTGGTTTATGTGGTGAGGGGAGATAGTGATGAGAAGATGCATAAGGAAAACTTCCAGAAATGCTGCTGATGGCTTGGGTGGTATATTAGTTCTCTAACCAAATGCCACACCCTTAAACAAGAGAAATGTCTTTCCTCACAGTTCCCAAGGCCGGGAGTCCAAGATCAAGGCGCGGGCAGGGATGGCCTCCTGGGACCTCTCTCCTAGGCTCCAGCTGCCTTCTTGGGGTTGTCCTTCTGAGTACCTGCTCCCCTGGCTTCTCTGGGTCCTAGTCTCTTATAAGGACATGAGTGGGAGTGGATTAGGACTCACTCTAACAGCCTCATTTTAACTTAATCCTCTTTTTCAAGGCCTGTCCAAAAACGGCCCCATTCCAGGGGAGCTGGGGGTTAGGATTTGAACTTGTGAATTTAGGAGAGCACAGTTCAGTCCCTGACAGGTGAAATCACAAGGCTGATCTGTCCCAATAAGTTGGGTCATGCATCTCGTTTGGGGTTTTTCTCTATGAGTGTACTTGACTTTAACACAGAGAAGTAAAATGGATGCAGTTTCACAACACTTGCAGAAACATGATTCTCCTTAGGACCTGGTCGCTTGGCAGATATGTGCTCTCAAATCCTTGAGCCGGGGTACAATAAACTCCAATTGTCATTCCTTCTAGATGCTCATGAATTTAGATAAAGACTTAGTGTTGGGAATTACAACCTTAAACATGTTGATCCCTGGTGAACTGTGAGGCTGGGTTTTGGTGACTCAGAAAGTCTGTCTTTAGCCCACTTAGTTCTTACCTACCTGAAAGACCGATCAACAATAGTTATCACATCACCATGTTTTAGCTGTACAGGTTTATCAAAAGTAGATCCATTTATTTGTGTTGGATTTGTGGAACTGAAATTAAACAATACTGCCTATAAATAGAAAACACAGGAAAACTTGTAAGTAATAAGTGGATACAAAGTGAAAAGTTTTTAAAAATAGACTGAGAAAAACCTACTCACCTCCTGCTCACTGATTTCAATTTTGCAGTGTTGTTTGGACACTACAGGAAGCTGAATACGAATGTCACACTCAATACTCCTTAATTCAAAAGAATAAAGATTTTTAGGTTGTTGCAATTAAAAAAAATTTATACTACTGCCTCAAAATAAAACAGCATTTAACTCTTTGCTTGATCTGTAAATGCAATGACATAAAGGAAAAACAGCTGGGCAATGTAAATGATCTTTGCATTTTGCCGACAATTTTCACAAGTATTGTAGAAGCAACTGCTTTAAATCATTAAAAGTTGGGGTACTTAAAAACAATTATAATGGAAAATATTAGAATACAAAACTGAATTTCCTTTTGCTAAAATATTTATGCTTATAATTATGAGACCCAGCTAAAGGAGTACTTCACATCAGCTGGAGAATAAATATTTTTTGGACTCTGTTTTTTTTCCTATTATAAAAAAGATTTACATATGTTTGTTGGTAATTTTATGTATGTTTAAAGGTTTAATTATCACCACAAGTGCTGTATTTCACACTAGGACCTGTTCATGCCTCAGTTTCTTCATATACCAAGAGGACTCCATTGGCATCCACATCATGGTGCTCTTCATTTATAACAATATAAATATATATATATATACATATATAACAATAATAACAATTAAATGAGTTACTCAGGTCTGTCACTTGCCTGGCACGCAGTAAATGCTCACAACTTGTAAGCTTTTGATTGTTTTAAAACTACACTATTAACCGACAAAGTCACAAGTCTCCTCTCGTTACAGAGACTAAACATAAGCAACAACCAATTATCTAGATGCAACCTCTTTTCACAGGAAGCTGACGTCAGCAGCAAGCAGCACAAGAGAGAAATCCCCAAACCACAGAGAAACTGCTTGAAGATGCCCTTAGCAAGGCTCCCTGGGCCTCTGGTGCCCCGGTACCATCCCGGGTTTAACACGTTTGAACAGACCGTGTGACTCCTCCGTTCTCAACAGGAACCTCTGGAGCCTTAGAATAGCCCTTCCTACCCATATCACATGATCAAACACTACAAGTGGGTTTCTAGATTAACAAATCTTGCATAAAAAGATACTTAATCACTACAGTATGAAAGAATGACTGTGATTTTATATTAAAATGTTTTGTTGTTTTTTCCTTTCGAAGAGAGTGGAAGTTACGGAAAGTGAACAGCTACTCTAAGTCAATGGAAAGATTTTGATTTTGAGGCATGAGACCATCCCAGCAAGAGAGAAAGACTATCTCGTTAGAAATGAGAATCTGTTTGGCAGGAAACTGCCAGCGAGAATCACTAGAGCAATGGTTCTCTGCCTCGGCACCACTGACATCCCAGTGACCAGTGGTGACCAGGGGTGACCAGCCAGACGGTTCTTTGTAGGGGGAGCCGTCCTGTACATTGTAGGATTGGCAGCAAAGCTGACCTCTGCCCCCTGATGTCAGTGATGTGGGGCTCCCACATCGTGACATGAAAAAATGTCTCCAGACTTTGCCAGGTATCTCCTGGGGATCATATAGCTCTCAGCTGACAATCACGGCTACATACTGACTCCAAACCCAATTCTCCAGCTGATGTTTCAACAGGACAATTGTTGGCGCGCTAGACAGTAGCCAGCTCTCATACACCAGACCCCATACTAGACACCAGCTATATAATTATTAACAAGATAGTTTCTGCTCTCAGGACCTTAGGAGTGAAACGCACAAACTGCAGCCTCATCACCACGTGGGGGTTAGGAAAGAAAAGAGCAGTGCTCGGTGAAGGCTTCTTCTCGGGGAACATGAATCCCATATCTGAAAGCTGGAAAGGAATCGCTCATGTAGGAGGGTAGAGAGAAAATTCCAGAGACAGAAGTGCCAACTGGCTAAGGGAACCAAGGTGAGCCAGAGCTTGGCCTGTGGTGGAACGTGGGTGCAGGACGACTGGTAGGAGGATGGAAGGTGGGTAGGAGGGGTTCAGGGCTCCCCCACACAGGGTTAGGTAGCTCACAGAGTAACTCACACAGGGAGGGTAACTCACCCATCACTTCTGGAAAATGAGAGCGGGGTGTGATTAACGGTTCCTGTTTATACACGGGCCACAGCTACTGCCACCACCAACACAGGAAGGCCAGCCAAAGCAAAGTTCTCAAAACACAACCGGAAAGACTCTTCTTCCCATCCCCACTTTTTTCCCAAAAAGATCAACTAGCCAACACAGATCCCTTCCTTGTTTGATCACTAGTAATCCCTGGCAGCCAAGAAACGCTCAGTTCAGAGAGATTTCAGATGAACAGAGTGGCCTTCGAAAGCCTGCCTGAAGTCAAGCAGGATTTGAGAATCCTTTACATTTTTCTCCAATTATAGATTTTTATCAAACCAACTTTTAAATCTTTGATTAAACACACACACACACAAACATCATCCTCAAAATTCTGTTTCATATGAAACAACCAGTCACATTGACAGTACATAGGCAGTCCTGTGCAAACCCAAGGGTTCCACTACTCCTGGAGCTGTGAATCCCATCTGTTAACCTGTGATTAATAACACTGAGGGGTTTTTAAAGCCAAATTGTCTAAATTGTCCAGGCAAGGGCAGGGCTCACCTTCCAAACAAGCAGGTGCTGAGGCTCAGCGGAAAGTGAGGGCCATCCACCCCGCTCCTTTTGATGGTAACCAGGCGTCTTGTAGGACCCATTTTCTAAGCAAGAATTTTAGTATAATCCCGGGACGGGAAGGTCAGGCATCAAAAGGTTTGCTGAAGCGGACTTACAGGTCACTGGACAGAATAACAAAAATAAAACACGCGGGGAGCCAGGCCGGAGGTTACAAAGCAAAGAGCTAAGAAGGCACTTGTAAGTGACCAACTGGGGTCGCTTCACCAATGCCTCTGCCGCCCCGACCCACACGTTATATTGATCGCTGTGGAAGCCCCAGGCTGGTCCCAGGCTTTCCCCCCACAACTCGGCGCCCCCCAGGGTCTCGGCTCCCGGGAGGGTTCCCGCAGAGACCCCACGCGAGCGCTGAGAACGAGCAGGGCCCAGCCCAGGGCACCGGCGCCCGCAGAGTCCCGAGTGGTCCACGCGGCCCCCCCGGGGCCCCGCCAGCTGCCTCCGCCCCCCGAAGGGCCCCGGCCGCGCCTCACCCGGGACGAGTCTCCCGCGCCGACACCAGGGGATCGATCCAGCGCCCCGCGGCGCGCACCTCGCGTTGGCCCCGGGAGGAGCAGGGGACCAGTCCACCTGCGTCCGCCTCCCGGCCCGCGCCGCAGGGACCGACCGGGCTCCGGCCCGCAGACTCGCGCCCACCTCCGCCGCGGCAGCGGTCCCCGCTCCACCCCCCGCCCTCGCCCTCGCCCCTCGCCCTCTCCGGCAGCCGGATGGCCCAGCCCAACCACGTCCCGAAGGCGCCCGGCGTCAGCGGCTCGGGCGCGAAAAGCCGTCGCGGCGCCCTCTAGATTCAAATGATAACTTCGATTCAAATTTGGCGCTAAGCGCTGCGATTGGGCGCAGAGGCGTAGAGACAGACCAATGGGAGTGGGGGGGCGGGGCAAGGGAGAGGGTTCGGCTGCGCGGTACGGGGCGGGCTCCCGGTGTAGACACAGACCAATGGGAGTGGAGGGGCGGGGCAGGGGGTTTGGTTAGGGCTGCGCGGGGCGGGGTGGGCTCCCAGTAGAGACAGGCCAATGGGAATGGAGGGGCGGGGCGGGGCTGGGGCAGGGTTAGGGCTGCGCGGAACCGGGCGGGCTCCGCGGGGCCGGGCGGGCAGGCTTGGCCCGGCTGGCTCGCGTGCATTCGCGGAAGGCGCGCTCGTTAAGGGTCCTCCAACCTTACAGCGCAGACCCTGCTGAAATGGAGCAGGGTCCCACCTCCGCGAAAACCTTCTTGCCTTCTTTTCTCTAAGGGTCAAACACAGTTAACAATGGTACATAGTATGTTACTCGTTGCTGGTAGGTTTATAGTTTTTTTAAGTTCCTCTATTTCCCTAAAGATGACCAATTGTTACAAGCCATCTCTTTTGTCTTTTCCCAGTAATGCACACGATTCTCTTTTTTTAAAAAAAGGCATGAGGAATGTCGTAATATACACTTTTTTCTGCACTTATATTCACTGCTTTATAAAGATGTAGGGAACGTCTTCCTCTTACTTTCTTTTTGATGGCTATAAAGTATTTGGCTTTGGAAATCTTAATTAATCTTTGCTATTGACTGTCATTAATTTAGGTTTTCTAAGGTTTACTGTGTTTTCCTGTCAGGGAGAATTTTCAATGAGTAAACCTTATGCACTACAAAATGGATGAACTGTAAAATAATTAACCACAGGATTCCTCCATGTGCGTGACCGGACGGGCGAAAGGAGATGCTGCGGGCCATAACGCTGTGAAGGGAACTGCGGACTTCCACCCTTGGAGTTTGGTTTTCCTCCATCCGGAACTGCTGTTCTCACTGCTTGGTTTGGGAGCCCTCGGGAATCTCTGAGATCCTTGCAAAGGGAAACCCACCTTTGTAATAACAGACGGTCCTTGCCCTTTTCACTGCCATTTCTTATACGTGAAAGATGGCATTTCCCTGGTGGAGAAGCAGGTGTGAGAATTCAGCAGTTTTATTTTATTTTGTACTAAATCAGTATCACAGAGATTTGCAAAAACATACAATAATGCTGCTCTTTCACTAATTTTTATAATAGAGGTTTTTTTAAAGGTGTTTCTATGTGAAAATGAAACAGGATCATCACTGCTTTAAAATGATTGATAAACTAAACTTTTTAAAAGTATTAAGTAAAAAAAAAAAAGGATTAATAGCCTATATAAACAGAAGGGCTTAGTGGTCCTCAGTGGTTTTTTTTAAGAGCGAAAAGGGACCCTGAGACTCTGAGCCTTTCTGCTCCTGAAAGATAACTCAGATTGCCTACAGGAAGGTGGGAGAGGACCTAGAAACGTGATGCTCCTGTATAGGAGGATTTCCAGCTCCGGATCCTGTGTGACGAACCTGCTGGGGCTGAGTAGTGTAAATGTCTGGATTCTATTAACCTTCTTGGGGGATGCGTTTCATTTCTTTCCCCTTACACTATCAAAGCTCATCCCTGATCCACCCCGTAAAATGCTGCTCTGTCACTCAATCATTGCTTGTCATCAGGACTGTTCTGTGACCCTGTGGGAGCAGCCTAGTTAGAACTAGGAGGTGCCAGATTTCCTGTCAAATAATCTTCCAAACCCTCGGCCACACACACCGTACCTTCAGTCCTCCAGCGAGAGCAGGGAATTAGGAAAGACTTCAGGGACTGTCAAAGTTGGGGCGCTTAGGTCTGTGGGAGCACCCTCTTTTAAACTGTTGATGGTAAGCTGGAGCAGTGATGTTTTCTGATGAATGGGAGGCTTGCCCCACAGCCCCAGTTTCCATCAAAGCCCGGGTCTCACTCCTGGGAGGAGCAACCCTTTGCACAAACGGCCTTGAAAGGGACCTGGAATAGGGACCCTGTAGTTAAAGCACCGCAGACCTGGATGGACAGGAGTCTGCCGACCTGGGGAGCTTTCAGGGAACCACTTCTAGACCTTCACACTCTACAGGCACGCATGCGCGAAATCAATCAGCCTGAGAAAGTGTCTTGGGGTGTGGGCTGGGGGGGCGGTCCCTACCCCCGGGCTGGTCTCCCTGGCTCTGCCCCCTCCTACTCTCACCTGCCAGAAACTCAGGAAGAGGCATTACCCCACACGCAATAAAGGGACAGTTCAACAATTCCAGTAAACTCCAACCCCCTCCGCCCGATTAGAGCGTGTACTTCCAATAAACTGAATATATGTTTAATATTTACCATCTCGGAGATGTTTGTGTTGTTTGGTCATCCTTGTTCCAGTAAACAGTCTACCGTGTATACTGACACTTGGTCCTGCTGGGGTGCAGAGAAGAGGCGAAGAGGGAGGCGGCCCTCCAGGCCCGTCCCCTCCCCCCAACACCTCCACACACAAGTTCAGGGTCCCCCCGCAGGGTCTCCTCCACACAGGGCTGGTGCTCCATCCCAGTCCATGGGCTCCCTTGGGTCCCAGCCGAGCGCCCTGGCCCTGGGAGCTCTGGCTGCAGGTAGGGGTTGCGGAGCCCCCCAGCAGTGGCCCTAGACTCTCCGCTTCACTCCCCACCCCCTTAATCACCCTGCTCCACCACCAGCCTTCCAGTTAAGGGAGGAAACAGCCCTCCAGCGTGGATCTGGGACAAGAAAGGTGGCCGAGGGTGGGGCTGGGGTCCTTCTGAAGTGCCTCCTGCAGGCTCTTCCTTCGCGTTGATCAGCCGCCCTGCTGAGACCCTGGGGGCCCTGTCTGGTCGCTGTCAGCTCCAGCACCCATGCCCAGGCGTCGACCACGCCCCGGGCACCTGCCTGTCTCCAACCTCCAACCCCAAAGCTAGGCTTGCTTCCCCAGGCCCTCAATCCTGGTTCTCCTAGGCTCCCTACACAGGATGCCATTCGCCTCTCACCTCAGTCAGAAGCTGGACTCCTCGGCCACTCCCCTTGGGCAGCATTCCACAGGTGGGTTACCAAGGGGTCTGTGGGGTTGCCCCTACCTGACTGCCAGCCTCTGTCCCCATTGGGTCTCCTGGGCCTTCACTCCTGGCCCCCCTAGGAGGCTAACTGCATCTGGGTCGGCCACACTCCCGCTCCAGGTTCCCCATCACCTTCCCGTTCCCTTAGTCCCAGCTCTGAAGGGGTGTGGTACAATCCTGCTGCCCCTGGAACCTCAGCTCAGGACCTTCTGGAGAGGATCAGATCCCAGCAGACTGAGGCAGCTGCTGCAAACAGGCCCCAGATCATGTGCCTTCCTGGGCCACAGCCCTCAGAGGTTGCTAACTGCTTTCAGAATTGAATAGAAACTCCTGCCAGGACCTAGAGGCCACTGTGACCCGGGCCTCTGCCTCCTTGGTCTGTGTGGTCCCAATTCACTTCCAGCTCAAGCGGCCTGAATTCTTCCATCCCCAAAGGTGCCCAGATCCCTCCTAGCCTCGGGGCTGGTGATTCCAGCCACTACCCCTGGGAACTTTTCGCTGGGGGAGGAAGGGGAGGTGGGCTTTACAGACAGGCTGAACCACAACTAGACAGGTTCTTTAAGAGCCCACCTGGAGAGGGGTCACCCTGGATGCTCCTGAGCAGTGAAAGGTGGCTCCAGCCACCCAGCACCTGCGCCGTGTGCCCACACGCGACTGAACAGCAAGGGGAACCAGCACGCTGCTTTCTACTCTCTGAGTTTAGAAAAAGAAACTGGACAGAACACTGCACCGACAAACATAAAAGGAATTTTGAGAAACATTAATTTTAAAGCTAATAGTATATGTTGCTGTTATGGAATATTTGGAAAATAGACTAGTGTAGAAGAAAAAAAAATCCCAAGATGCACACACAGGCACACACTGCAAATGGCCCGGTCATGTTTTTATCTGTATAGTGTTATTTTGCATGATAAGCAGTGCATATCTGTATAAACACACACTAGTTTTTCTTATACTTTCATTTAGGATTATTACATAAACATTTTCTCATTCACTTTTGGTGAATATCACTTTGATAATCTTAATGCCCTGTGTTTGAACATTTAACATTTTATTATTATAAATAATTGGCTAATGAACATCTTAGCAAAAGCCTTGTTTTGACATAATGGATTATGTTCTTAGTTTATATTGCCCAAAATCTAGTTTCTAGATCAAATAATATTTGCTTCTTGTCATCAAATTGCATGCTTTTCAAAAGGCTTACAACAATTTTTC